ATACCTTTTTGGAGAGGACACTGACTGTATTTGTTAGTCTAACGTTGTTAATACCCCTCACACCCAAGCACTCAACTATAAACTCATCCTGTGTTAGTATCTAAAGCTATGTGGGATTGCCAAGGGGTCTCTTACCCAAATATTTGCTAGGTTGGGGAATACTTAATCTCGGAGATCAGGGAGACTTATTCTGATGTGGCTGTAGACTCTATAGACAGTTACATTTGCAGAAATCCACTGAAGGCTGTTTTGTTTTCATAAGTCACTGAGGGCATAATTTGGCTTCTTGCAGTCTGAGGGTGGGCTGTTTAACCTGAACAAGTTCTAGCTTGTTCAATTAGAATTTAACAATATACTTTCCCCTTACTTGTAAGCATCTCTTAGGAGCAACTTGGCATCTCCTTGATGCATGAAGGGATATGTGGATTTAATGTACATATTAAGTATGTCTGTAAAGTAAATTCTCACATAATTTTACACATAAAAGTAGTATTTGAGGAGTGTGTGTGTGTGTGTATAATTGTTACATTCATATACAGAAATAAAACAGTCTTTGCTCTTCCCTTTTGTACCTCCTCAAGACATGTAATCTACAAAGCAGGAGAACTGCATGATAAAGTGTGCCAGAGTGGAATGCATAATTATTCCAGAGGAGGGTAAGTCAGTTCAGAACTTGTACTAACATTCTTAAGGGTAGCAGGAGTCTTCTTGCCATGAAATTACATCAGCTCTCTATCGCCCAGAGTCAATGCACATGCTTTCCCTTTCTAGGGAAGAAGAAAAAAAGGTGTGAAAAATGCTAATGTCTTCAAAAATGTACTGTGGAACAAAGCTGAGTAAGTGAATATATATTATACTGTGGTGTTCACCTGTAAGTGAACTTGAGTTTAAGGGGAAAAGAGACTGAGACATTGTACTTTTAAAACAACGCTTTCAGTTTTTAATAGATTAAGTCATGACTTGCCAACAGACTAGGGAAACATCTAAATAAGAAAAAGAATGCTTCTTGATCCTAGTTCAGAGACATTCCCATAGCAGGTGGGGCAGAGGCCTTCATATTACAGGACTCCTCCATATACCCAGATCTGTTACAATTCTGTCAGGTCATGAGAAAGGACATTTTTACAGTAAATAGCAGTGGATGCGGCTAGCAAGAAAAAAATACTTGGGATTGTGTAGTAACAATTCCTGAGGTAGAATCTGTTCTATATGGAAACATAACCCAATTTCCTAGGGGTCTGAGATAAAGTATTAATTAGCATGTACTGCTAACTTATTAATAAAATTGTCACTAAGACAAACAGCTAGCTAGTACTGCTCAGCAGAGTTCTGATTTACTATCATTTCTATGTAGTAATTAGGTGTGGTTCAGCTAATGGCTAGAGTGACTAATTTCCATTTCCCCATTAGGTGGCAGAGGGGAGGAAAGGAACATTTCCTTCCCCCTCCTTCTCCCCACCAAACTAGAGTATCTGTCACTTACAGCTCTTCAGTGGATCTAGCGTGTGAGATCAGTCTTACACAGACTGTAAGCTGATAGGCGACTCCAGCAGCAGGCTTTGCGTGTGCACTAAGTTCTAGTGGCAGTCTCTTTAGTAGCATACCATGTGTCTTGACACATGAGGCTAGCAGAGCATGTTGTCTCAAGCTATGTGTGGGTGGAAAACATGCTTTAAAAGTGATAATGTATGCTCAGTGACATTGCTAATGCAGTTTGCAAAGAAAAAAACATGCAAGAAGCAGAGACTATATAAGTTTAGCTTGAACCACCAAAGCAATGAAGTATTCAGTGATAACAGAAGATCAGGATAACCTATGTTTGAAGAGTCCATCTGTTAGATTTACATGATTACCAGTTTGAAAGATCTATAAACTGGATCTCCAGTTAGAGCACCCTTGGCAAGTGAGGTGTTGGCTTATGGCAATTCTGCAAACACACACTGAAAGGATGCATTTCATCCCCCACCCCCAGCTTCTTTCTTTGTATGTTAAAGCTCCTCATAACTTTAGGGGAAGAGGTGTATTATGAGTGAAGCTGTGGAATGCTCACATATTTTATTACAGTGGGTAGGAATGAGATAAATATATTCTTCTCTTTCATTGACATGCCCTTCTGATCAACCGAAAGAGTTTTGCCCAACAGCTTCAGTTGCCACGAACAAGAACATTTCAAGAGATTTAAATGGCATCATTTCCCCCCACCTACCTGGAAGGTGGGGGAAAAGGAACATCAGCTCTTCCTGTTTTTCCTTAACAGGAAAACCACTAAAAATCTAATATTCATGCTCCCTATTAATCCTTTTAGTGATCTTCAGTGTTCTGAGTTACAGTAAAATTAAAGCCACACTTTAGATTTTGTTACAGCCACGTAAGAGGACAAAGGGCACGCTAGTGAAGCCCAGGTCTTGTTAGTCTTGTATTCACTGGAGTACTACATGGTTATAAAATTCTTCTTTTCAATACTTTAATAATTCTGTAACTGATGGGATAGATCACCCTCTATATCTTTAAGTCCCTATACTACTGAGAATACTGAGTTATCTCTTAAAAATTTTGTCATCACTTAAAAGTTCACAACTTACTTTTGATAAGTAGTACCCAATTAAAAGGGGGTAAAGTGGACACCTACATGCTGTATTCCCCCCTCCCCCACCTTGTCTCTTATCTGACTAGTCAGAGGTACTTTTTTATTCCTTGTCTGGGTGCTTTTAAATTCAATGTAACTACTTATCCAACACTTCCTTCGTAGTTAGAAAATGAGAGAAGAATCACAAACAGCCAGCTTTCATCTTTTGTTACTTACTTCAGATATTGTCCCAGTGTCAGAAAGCATAGTTCAGCCCTCAGAGATGAGAAAACTCAAGGACTTATCCCTAAGCAGATATTCCTTCCCTCCTGCGGGCTTATAAATCCTTAAAGTAGAATTTGGTTGTTTGCGATTGGTCAGAAAAACAGGCACAGGTGTGTAACATAAGGATGTTTAAGAGGAGAGACAAATGGTAACAGAAGCCATGTGTAAAGAGTTGAGCTCCCACTTAATCTTCTGTTAGCGCTCAGTCTCATCAGGTTAGCATGCGTTTTACTCCATTCCTGTTACCATCCATCACTTCTATAGAACAAAGATTTAGCTGTAAAGCCCGACTCCTTCTCCTTCATAATGCATATCCTGTACTGGGAAACTTAAATGTCTCCTACTTTGAAGTGGAGCTGTTTTTTAAACACCACATCAACATTTGGAAATTCTGAGCAATGCCGCTGCTAACAGAAGTCAAAACTCCAGTAGAAAATAGTGTTTTTTTAAAAAATGTATTTACTGATCCTCTTTCTAATTCTTTATGACATAATCTGTGGAAAACAGCATGTCTCTCTTGCCCCTGGGCTACCTCAAAGTGAAGTAGGGACACAGTCTTTCTGAACTACTTCTCGGCTCATTTTAACTTTAAAGAACTCCACTGATACTCCAAACAGTATCAAAAATTCCTTGTTTAGAAATGTAAATCTAATTAAAATAATTTTCATGTTGGAGACATATTGTCATTAATTAATTCATTTGTGCTGGCATTTGTGCCAGTTTAGCCTGTATTTCTTAAATGACTGTGAGTCAATAATCACATCTAGTTGTTTTTGGTATGGAAAAATAAACTCTACTAGTGATGAAAATGTGCAAACAATTGTATGTTTGCAGCACTGGCATGCTAGACAGCTTTATTTTTCAAGGGGAAGAAGAAAGAGCTTACCTAAGTAGCCCCTTCCTCCATGCCTGAATGGTTAAAAGGGATGAGATAGCTGAGCGTCCTGACACAAGAGGAACCTCAGTGCCCCAACACAAGCAGCTAGTGCCTTTTTAGATGCTCTTATGTATCCTCTGTGGCCTCCAACTGCCATTTTAGCATAGCCCTTGGCTCCCATAGATCCTGCATCATAGCTGCCAAACCGTGTGACTGTCTGGGTTACCAAGACAGGTATCATGATATGAGGTCTCAAATGGCCCTAGCTAGCTATGTTGGACACATTCAGCCACCCGCATCCTACCCAACCTCACTGGCAGCTGCTGTTGATGGACAACTTGCTAGTAAATTTATCTGTCGTGTTCAACAACCATGTCAATGCACAAACATGCAATGACTCAATTTTGTAAATAGGAGTTTTATTGTATGTGATCTGTTCATTGAGAAAATATTGACTAGGAGCTCAAAGAAGTGAGTTTGTTCTTGTGGAGCTGAGTCTACAAAGTACACATAACATTTACAGAGTACCTTAATACTATTTTCACTATTTTTTATTGGAGACTTAGTGGTTGTAACACAGCTAGTTTAGTTGCCTTGTCCATAATTATAAACTCTAAAAACTGCTTCAGAGTTTTGAATCGGCTGCAGGCCTGATGGTCAGAAAGTGGCTTCATCTCAATCTTAAGACTAAACTTGATAAATAGCACTGTAGATTTCATATTTCATATTATACTAATTTAAAAGTGAAAGATGGAAAAAAAATGCAGTACTGTGCATAGAAACCTATAGCTTCGTAATCTCATAATCTGCATCTCCATAGGAAAGGTGCAAATGAAATATAGATTTCAGGTTCCTAGGCCAATGTTCACCAAGCTGAACAAGCACAGGCACTCAGATATTTCTGTGTTACCATTTACACACCGCTAGATAGCATTATATTGGATAACTGAGTATTTAGAGCTTGCCTATGAGTTCAAAGCACAATCTATTTAAAGAAGTAAGACAAAACAGACAAACAATGATTGAAGACACTTTTTATAAAAAAATTGCATTTCTGTCTCATTGGTATTTTGGAGGTGTATTATAGATTGCTTAAAAATATCTTAACCATGAAACACTGCATCAGGAACAAAAGCATGCATCAGCTTGCATGTGACACGCTTTAGCATGCTTGGAGGCATAAAGAAGTTTTGGCATTGTGGAGAGGCAATGTGTTATGTACATTGTGTGGGAGGATACACCATGCAGATTTGATTGCATCATCTTGCTCTCTTTTTTTTTTCTTTTCTTTTCTTTCTCTTTTTTCTTCCAGATGGTAAGACAAAGACTGTAGTGAAACTCGTTTTCTCCCAGGAAGAGGTGGGAGGGAATTTTATATGAGCAAGAAACTTTGCCTCAAGTCGAAATCTGGGGCCTGGACTAATGAACTACCTGTAATTCATATTGTACTAAATATTGCTGAAACGAGGCATGCACTAATCATGAACCATGCCAAACTATGCATAATTGCTGTGCTTTCTCTGTAGCAGTAATTAATTTGCGTTGGCAAAATTGATTAATCTTTCTAATCTAAAAGTAAAGTGCTTCTCAGACATGAAAGGCTATGTAACTGCTCAGGGTTGTTACAGAAGCCCAGTGAAGGGTGTTTCAATCCAGTGGGGGGCAGGAGGGGGATGGAAGTTAAAAAATTAAAAGTTTAGCTCATGTTTATGAAGTAATAAGAATTGTTAATAGTTAAAGCTTTCTATTTTGCGACAGAATTCACGGTCTAAACCGTAGGCTTCTACCCACAGTGCATTCCTCCTGAAGTAAGAGATAGTCGTCATTAATTCAGAGAGAGGGTTTCTCTTCTCTGAGGGCTGTTCCACTAAGGTAAAGAGGGTTCTCTGCAGATCAGAGGGACCGCGGTTCCATCCTATAGAGGGTAGTGCTATGTATTTAAAGGTTTCTAAAGCTGCAGTGCAAACTCACCCATAAATTCATTTTAGTCTTAACCTGGAGGAAAGCGCTATTCTAGGTATGGTTGTTCAGCTGCTACACTTGAGTCAGTCCTCACTGACAGTCTGAAAAGGGTGTTCCTTGTATTGCCTGTGATTTGGACATGCCTCCTTCTCAGGAAATATGTATGCTGAGATCATCAACTTAGAATATGTCGACAAACAGAGAGCTACCAGATGTTGATGCATGAACTTAATTCTGACATCACTGAAAACGGAAGTTTCCGTTTCATTGCCAACCTCCTGGCCTAAATTTGGCTTGTCCTCCCAAGGAAGCTAAATCTGAAAGGACTTAAGTTGTCAAAGGATGATTGTGCTTTACAAACTACACTTCATAAACTGATGCCATCCGATCTATAACAAATACAGTTTCTTAGGCAAATAGATGCATGAGTCCATTAACACTCTATACTGTTTTTCAGCAAGTTAACTTAGTGTTGCCCGTTTTCTCCCTCAGACATGTTAATATTACAGTTATTTTCTCGTTTGCCCTGACAGCATTGTTTCCTGGCAAGGAATATTACTGCATGCAATTCATGATAGGCAGAATGACATGATACTCATTTGGAAGTGGATAGTCTATAGAGATAACGAATCAAATTCAGAGAATTTTTTTAAAATGCTGCTATTACCTCCAAGTCTGGAATCAATTCTGTGTTAAGAAGTTAAGAGAAATATTTTTAAAGCACATAAACTGTTAGAAAATTTAAATCTGATTCCTAAAAGTGGTATTTTTTTTAAGGATGCCATCCAAAAGGGAATTATTTGTGACACTGTATTTTCTTAAAGTTGTGTCTTGTGTCCAAATATTCTGTAACCACAGTGGTACACTTCTGGTATCTTTCAAAATATATAGTATATATAGTGGTTGAAACAAGCTTTGTAGGAGACTTCTTTTTAATCAAGCATGAGACTTTACATTTATTGGAAGGTTTTCACAAAAATAAGGGCAACATCATGCAGATTCTTTACAACCAGAATCAGTTATAGTTACACTTTGGAAATAAATTTAAGTAGACACATGGAGATACAGTTGTACATACACACTCCATTTATGACATTAGTTTAATGTACTGATAACTCTCAGTAATACACCAGTAGTCTACAATCAGCTGATGGAAAGACTGTATAAGGAGGAAGAAAAATGCTTCAATTTCTCACACTATTTAAGTGACTTGACAAGAACTTCAGCGTGAGCTGCCTCTGAAATTTCGGAGGCAAGACCAAGTCAAGACTACACTCTTGCAGTACAAAACATTTACACAGAAAATACACATGCATTGCAATGCATTGGGAATGGGTAAAGCAAGGAGAAACCCATAGCTCAATGCCTTATTAACACAGTTCTACAAAGGAGCCTCAAATAGTTCAGTCACAGTAAGGCCACAATATTACAATGGATAAGGACCTTAGAATTCAGCGTTCTGTGTTAGTAATAGAACCCTTCCTTGTTTGTAGATTTTTATATAATACACCTGAATGGTATCTCATCAAAGTCCTTCTATTTTTTTTGTAAGTTTAACATATTGCTTAATACAACAGTTAGCACAGTAGAGGTGGGTACTGTCACAAGGAAAACAAAACCTATATAACATTCACGTAGTAGACAATATGCTATGTGCAGTTAGATGAAGCTGGCTAATCAGAAAAAAGACTAGCAAAGGATTTCCTCAAGTTTCGAATAGTTTCAGCTTTTGCTTCATCTTCATTCACAGATGATCGGAAGAATGATGATTCTGTGAAACTGAAGGCATTTGTCAAAGACTGCGACTTGCTGCAAGACAAAAATGCAAAATGTTTTGAATGGTCATGTTACCTGCCAGCCTCCATCCACATGTAACTTGTATAGCTTGTATAAATTCTGAGAAAAGGAAAAATGTCTATAAGATGAAAACAATTTGCATTTGAACAAAATGGACGTTCATACACAAGCAGTATAGTTAGATGTAGCATACAGAGCTGCTGCAATACAGCACCTTCCTTCTGTACTTTGATTTGAGAAGGAGGATAATCTTTTCTTCAGAGAACACACTGCTTTTTTACGGATCTGAAACACTGGATCCCAGGAAATCAGAGGATGTAAATTAGGACTTGTGAAACACTAGGCCTGCCTGCTAAAGCCAAATCACCACACAGGAAACCCAACACATTTAGGGTCAATAGTTAGGTTCCTAAAGGCTGTGAACAGTTACTGCACAAAAAAAATCAGGTAATGTCAGCAAGAGTTGGAAGAAGGAGTCCTGTAGTTATAATGCGTTCGGACATTTGATCCTTAGTGGACTTTATATCTTGAAAAAAATTCACAAAATTAAATAGCAAATTTCTTTTCTGTAAGCAGTTAGTCTAGCTTTGCTGTTCTGGTTTTACTGCTATCATGTAACATTGGTGTTAAGTCTCTAGGTAAGCATGAATAAAGTTGAAAAAAATGAAGAAAATAACATGCAAGAAGGAGGATGTCTGAAGTTTCAAACTAAGTAATGACTTGTCAGGTAAAATAAGTTTTAAAAAGTAGGCTTGAATTTAAATGGAAAACTTATATTGAGTTACAGTCTTTGTACAAAGACATCTGTGCATCAGTAAAGCTATTTAACTGATTTCATTTTTATGTCAGCGTAATAACACGACTTAGGTCTTGGCTACAGTAAAACTGAAAACACTTTTCTTATTCACTTGTCTTATACCCTCCATGGTTTGCAACTTCTCTACCTCTAAACTAATAATGCACAGCAAACAGTGCTACAGGCATTTTAGGTTTTTCATAAATTATAGTTGTGTTAATGAGAATAGACTGATAAATGTTTGTTTGTACTCACTGAAAGAGGGAGGGTGGGAAGCAGCACTTGACTTGATTAGTAACACAATAAGTAGCCTAATTAAATATTTATTCACAGATTAATAACATGTACATACAGGTTAGGCAGCAGCATGTGGGTGAATACAAAGCATGCACATGCAAATAGAGTTAATCTCAGAGGCAGGAGATTTGAGTCTTGTTGTAGACCTAAACTGCTTCTTGAAAAAGGACTCTTATTATGATTTGCATCTTAAAAACTTTAATTTATTCCTTAAAATATTTTTATTTTATTTTATTTTATTTTATTTTATTTTATTTTATTTTATTTTAAATAGAGAGTATTCTCTTCCATTTGAAGAAGAGAAAAATGAATGAACCTGGATTTGAAGAAGGAACTTAAGAGAAGGGAGGAGCTTGAGAGAAAGGAGAAGGCTGGAAAACTGTATATAGTAACTCTCTTTGTCTTAAACGTCAGACGTTCACAAGTTGTTTCAAACTAGTTTATAGTTTTCCATCTTTGCTACAAAAACTGACCTGCCTGCTCTCTATGTATACCTAAATAATGCACGAATTAATCCGAGTTTTAAGACTATAAACCAGAATAAAGAAATACGCTGTCCTAGGAAAGCATTTTCTTCAGAAGTAGCTATGCTCGTGATGTCAGCTTTGCATCTAGTCACCTAAGAAGTCTATAGTCACTGTTCCACTGAATTGTGCTCAGGCGAGGACTCAAAATTGGTTCACACTAGTATTAGCATACGAGTGGGTGGAAAAAGGGGATCTGCGTTACTTGGATAAAGCAAAGATTTCATGCCAGTCTTAGGACTTATCAGAGTGAGTAGAACGTCTTTTTCATTCTTTACTGGCAATAGTCTGCGTCAGGATCACTGTGCTGAAGAAACGGTGAATCACTGCTAATACCTGCTCCAAGTTTTCCATTCACTAGGTTTAAGCTGTGAGAAGATACATCACTACAGATCCTTTTTGTATTCTTTACTGTAGCACACGGCAGGCTGGATATAACAACAATCGTATGCTGTGCATTAAGGAATCTGCCAGTAGTGAGATAACTACATACAGTATTCTGCCTGAGTCCTGCCATCTTCTCTGGAAAGTGCCTCTGTGAATTACTTGTGCTGTACAGTCAGTAGCAGTGTACAACCATGAAAGAAGCATGACTGTTTGGCAGCCAGTCTAGCATATTCATTTGGATTGTTTCTGAGATAGGCCTTCTGAAAGTGGAATTTGTTGTTTGAGTGACTGTAAGGTTAAAAGTTGAAATAGATAAGACTTCCTCTTTTCTGTGAAGGCTAACAGCACACCCAGATCATGAGTCAGTGACATAAAAAAGAGAAAAAAAAAAAGAAATGAGAAAGATGATGAGTTTTAAAATCTGACCTATTTGAGGCAGAAAATATATAACTAATTAATAAAATTTGGTATAGCACTTAGGATATAACGAACGATACTCTCTGACTGCAGTAATCACAGAGGACGAGTTTTTTGGAAAAAGTTTTAACCTCATTTTAGAATTGGGAACGTATGCACATCTTTTCTGTATATTAGACCAGCTCCCAAATTAGTTAGACAGCAAAATCAAACTATATTGTGAGGAGAAAAGAAAACTCATAAAGCAAATCTTACTTAAGTTGTGGATGAGACTGAGGCTTCTGTTGCGGAGCTTGTGTTGCGGGGCAGTCTGGGGCTGCGGCTGCGGCTGTGGCTGCGGCTCTGCTTCCACCGATAATCGGGTGCTGGAAGGACCTGGAGCCTGGGCACGTGGCTGCTGAGTTGTAGGTCCAGGTGGACGCTGTGGCTGGGAAGTTGAGGGCTTTGCTGACTGCCCAGGGGGGAACATGCGCTGTGGCTGCAATGGCTCCTGGCTTTGTGATTGCATTCCTTGGGGTTGCACTGGGCCCCCTAGGTTCAGTACAAGAGAAACTTCATAATGTTATAGTGTCACAGAGTTCTTACTAGATTTCATATCCAACACTTAAAAATAATCCTGGAATTTGATTAATGCTATTTTTGAGGCAAAATTCTATTGATAATGGACTACAGTTTAATGTAGTAAATACTACTAATCACAGTTGGTACATTAGTAACTTGCTTGCAGCCCTGTATGCTTCATCCTTATAATTGCTACGAAGTACCAAATTTATACCAGCAGTAGCTTCACTGACTTCAAATAAAATCAGTGGAGTTACAAGATGATTTTCAGTCAGCTCAAGGAGAGCCTGTGAGAGAATGGAACATACCAACAATAGCTATTTCAGCAGTACATCTGCTGTTTTCTGTGCAGTTATTGCAATTTTGTTCCGCCAAAACTTTAAAATTATTTTTGTAATCTTCCTCTCAGATTCACTCTTACAGCAGTAAAACAACTTCATATTGTTGGCTAATGCAGTCTTTTGATAACTTACTTAATTCTGTAACTTATTTAATTCTGTGGTGAAATACGTTAAGAACAGTACAAGAAAAGTCATTACTAGTTCTTTACCAAAGATATCTTTCCCCTGACAAGGAAGTACACCGAAAAAATATTTTAAGAAATGTGGAACTAACATATGTAGTAGATACTTAGGTTGTGAAATCCATTGCTGAAAAATGCTACATCATCATATGGTTGTTTCTGGTGCTTTCTGACTGAAATTGCGCTGTGTCAAATATCAGTGGGCATGCTGTTTTTATCTCATATCAGATGTCTGAATGTGGCTTTCTTGGGCGAGTTAGCTGTTATAACAGAATCTTTACTCTTGCATGTGACAAGGCACACAGCATATCTGAATTAAGCAGAGGAAAGGACAGGATGAATTTTGAGATACTTGTTTGCAGAATGCTTTGGTGGGGATAGCAGCTTTGCTGAACAATAAATATACAAGACAACTCATCTAGATGTTCTGAACGTTTGGAAATTTTCTGTCTTACGCATATTTAGCACAAGTAAAAGATTTTATCTACTCAGGTCTCTAGAAGAAAACATTCATACCTGGAAATACTGTATGAGATTTTTTTTTAAATATGCTGTTACAGTCTTCCACTTACATGACGTTCCAGTGAATGTATCTGAGAACAGCATGTACTAATGCTTTAGGAAGTTTTAATATAGCTAGTTGTAGCAGTGTCTTGTGGTGTAGAAGGATAAATACCATGTACTCTATGTTAAGGAATGTGCCTTCACCATTTGTTAATTTGAATCACTTTCACAGGAAATATTTGAAGGTGATAACATGGTCTTACAACATCTTAATAATGACTGTTTGCTTATTATTCTCCCTTCACTGAGTACTGAAAAACAGAAAGGTTTTTTTTCCCCCGCTTGCATATACAGGCTTGAATGCCAGAAACTTTACACTGAAGACAGATATAACTTTCTTTTATTGCACATTAAGCTGTACAAGGTATTTCACATAAAAGATATACTGCTGTCACATTTCCAGCATTTGCTCACTTTCTTGCAGCTGGGTTGTACAAAAGGCAACAATCATGAAAGAAACTTTTACCAAAAATAACCCAACAAAACTGAACATTAAACCTACACTGTAAAACATCTGTTCCCTGTTACCCACAATATTGCACCTAAGCATGCTTACATGCAGAGAGACATTTTGGCTTGCTTCTTGTCTGTGGTATGTAGTACTAGTGTGTGCCCTTGTAAATCCTTTACAGTCAACAAGCTGAAATCCTATCTGCAAAACCCATCTTTTCTTTGCACACACAGCTCACAAATGTCATGTGAAAAGCACTTGTGAATACTTGTACCACTACATGCAAACAAAAAAAAAAAAAAAACCCGCCAACTGCTATAAATAAAATCAATCATCAGATTCATTTATCCACCGCAGGGCAGTATGGTTTATTCACTCCCATGGTGTCTAGAGGTAAGGATTTGCGAACCTGATCCTAAATGGAATGTTCTTAACATTGAACAAAATAGCCAATACTGTCATTGGAATGATCACTGACCCAGACAAATGCTGATCACTAAAGCAAAATAGTCATGTAATTTACTGATAGGTAATAGACAGTAGCACTTACCACGAACATTTAAATAGCTAATAATGCATACCTTAATTCTCCTCTTACCAGCCAGCTTTTACAAATAAAAGAAACACTAAGCATGA